AAAACCTTTATGGAGCAATTTCAAACACAGAAAAAGGCCAGGTGCCGTAGCTCACATATGTAACCCCAGTGCTTTGGGAGGCTGAGGCAGGAGGATTGCTTGAGGTCAGGAGTTCGAGTCCAGCCTAGGCAACATAGTGAGACCTTGTCTCTGCAAAAAGTCAAAAAATTGGGTGTGGCACATGCCTGTAGTCTCAACTACTTGGGAGGCTGAGGCAGAAGGACTGTTTGAGCCCAGGAGGTCAAGGCTGCAAGTGAACCATGATCATGCCACTGCACTCCAGCCTGGGCGACAGAGTGAGACCCTGACTCAAAAAAACAGAAAAACACGCAAAAAAAACATCTAGCAGACATGAGGGAACCCATTCCCCAGATTTACCTGATCATACTTTGCTACATTCACTTCAAATATTTTATACTAAAATGCCAACATAGATATGGCTAAAAGCCCCTCTGCCCGTGCCCTTCCCTCTGTCACCCCAGGCCACCACTATCCTTGAAGTCCGTGTGTCTTCTCCTGAGCATCTGGCATTTCCTGGGGTTTTTATGCTTTCCAAGTGCAGCACCTCACTGTACCTGCCCCTCTACGATGTGCCTGTCACTCCATGACCATGCTCAGGACTTGTCAATCCAGATCATTGCTGTGTCCACCGCATGGACACAGAACCGTCTGTTTCTCCCTCCTCTTTTTGATGGGCACACAGGCGGTGTTTATCCTTTGCTATTTCCAATAACGTGGCAGTAGAAGTGTTGATGCACATCTCTGGGTACATCACAAGTCACACACAACTACAACGTGTTGGAATCTGAGTACCCCTACCTGACCTTGGAGAATCGCTGGGTGCCTCAGAAGCTCCGTCTCCTCATCAGTAAGAGGGGGTGATAAGACAGCATGCATATTGGTGAAGAGTCCACGGTTCAGTGGAAAAGCATATGGGCCCCTGAAAGTAGCCCATGAATGCTGGTTGTCTATTACGTGGGAATTCGACATTTAGAGGGTACTGAGCACCCCCCATGCAGGGATACGATGGACAGGCCCTTGTGCTCACGTGCAAATGAGAGAGTCTGATGGGAGCAGCAGTGGAAAAACACACACATTTAGAGTTGATTTTTGTGTATGGTGATCGGGAGAGGGGGTGAGATTGGCAGTTGAAGGAAACTGCCAGGGGAGGGAGGGGCATACCTCACCAACAAGGGTAGCTACATGATGAACATTTGTATATCTAACCCTGAATTGTACCCCACATCTTTAAAATAAGAAAGAAAGAGAGAGAGAGAGAGAGAGAGAAACACACACACAAGACTCTGCTCACTGATCTAGCTGGAGGGGGGAGGCAGGTGAGGCTCCCCAGAGGAGGTGACATGGAGCCGAGAGCAAGGAAGACAGGAGGCAAGAGGTGAGTGGGAGACAGGAAGGTGGGAGGCTAGCCAGGCAGAAGAAGCAGTGCCTGTAAAGGGACTGGCTGATGCAAGGGAGCATATGTAGAGCCTAAGGGGTAGGCGCAAGGGGGCAGCAGCGTAAAATAAGTCTGGGGTGGGGGAGCAGAACTGAAACACCAGGGCCCAAGGACCTTGGGGAGCCGCTGAAGGATTTCAAGCAGGGTGGTGACTGGCTCAGATTTGCGTGTTAGGAAAATCAGTCTGGTCTCACTGAGGAGGGGGCGCTGGGAGAACCTGGGGACTGCAAATCCATGAGGGGAGTGCTGAGGCTACACACATAAACATGGCGAGGGCTGAGCTAAAGCTGTCATCACTTCTGCTTCCATGAGGCTGCCCCAGTGTCTTTGCTGCCTTCCTGAGACTTGGGACACACAGAAGACAGGCTCTGTCTGGCTCACAGAACAGTGGGCATCTTGGTGACCTCCTGATGCCTGTGTGCCATATCTAGCTCCTAAGCCTCCCTCCTTCCACCGCAGCAGCACACAGGGCCACCCCCTCCCACCATGTGCAGCCGGGCAGCATCAGGAGAAAGGGGAAGAATGGCCAGGCTCGGTGGCTCAGCCTGTAATCCTGCGTTTTGGGAGGCCGAGGTGAGTGGATTGCCTGAGCCTGTGGGTTCAAGACCCGCCTGAGCGTCTTGGTGAGACCTCATCTCTACAATAAATCAAAAATTAGCCGGGCGTGGTAGCACGCACCTGTAGTTCCAGCTACTTGGAAGGCTGAGGCGGAAGGATCGCCGGAGCCCAGCAGGTCATGGCTGCAGTGGCCGGGAGCGGCCACTGCACTCCAGTCTGGGTGACGGAGTGAGACTCCAACTCAAAAAAAACAAAAAAAGAATGGCCAGTCGACGAGAACCTCACTGTAATCCCAAGAGTTCAAACTTGCATCTCAACCCATCCACTTCTTCTTAGGTCTGCTTGGCACCATGTGAGGCACAGCACCCAACTGGGGGCTCTCCAGTTCCCGGATGATAGAAGTCCTTTTGGCATCATGGCACCAAGGGCATGGTGGAGTCTTCACCAGCATCCCATGATAAGAGATCCCACCAGCTGCCAGACTGCCCAGACCCTACGTGGAGTGAGGGGGAGGGGAAGGCAACACATCCTAGAAAAAGACACCTTGGTTACCACTGGGCGGCCCTAACGTCTAAACAGCAAATATCTAAACAGGACAAAGACAGACATACAAGAACTACCCTAAGCCCCCACTCCTTAAGTGGAGACCCTCCTTGGTACCCTAAGGATGAATGAGAGTGTTGTTTCTAACCCTTCCATCCTCAGGGCAGTGGCGCCTCCCTGGCCCTCCCCCAGGCTAGGCTAAAGCCCTTGCCATCCACTCTTCCAGCACTCAGAAATTCCTGCTCTTTAGAATTCCAAGTGTGACCTTTGACTTCCTTGCTGGGCTGCCAGCTCCCTGTGGAGAAAGGTATGTCTGCCTGGCTCGCTAGTGCCTCCTTGGTGCCTGGCACAGAATGGGCTCATTGCAGGCCCTCCAGTGCTCGAGAGTAGGAGCAAGAGGACATGCTGAGGGAGAGGACAAGTGGAGGAAGACTCAGGCCCCAAGGGTGGAGCAGTGTCTTGCCCAGTCCACGGGCTAGGTAGGAAGAGATCACGGTTCCTCTCGGAACCTCGGACTCACCTTTCCCACTCATGACACTGTGCTAGGAAGAGGCTCTGAAACCCACAGAAAAGTGGTCTGTAGCCAAATAAGGTTAGAAACTCCGGGCTAAATGAAAGGAGTTTCTTGACCACTGATCTCCTCAGAGCCTTGAACAGGTCCTGTGTCCATGCTTCTAGGAGAGGGTCACATACAGTACCTACAGCTATCTGACCCTGGAACCCTACCCATGAAACATGGTCTGACATCACCCCTCAGCTGCTTGTCACAATTATTTATTGAACATGGCACAGCACAGAGATTTGGTGCAAATTTTGGGGCAGGATAGGAAAATCCTTTTTTTTTTTTTCTTTTTGAGTTGGAGTCTCACTCCGTTGCCCAGGCTAGAGTACAGTAGCACGCTCATGGATACCCCAGCATCAATCTGCTGGGCTCCGGCGATCCTTCCGCCTCAGCCTTCCAAGTAGCCAGAACTACAGGCACACGATACCACGCCAGGCTAATTTTTGGTTTATTGTAGAGATGAGGCCTTGCCAAGTTGCCCGGGCTGGTCTTGAATCCACAGGCTCAGACAATCCACTCGCCTCGGCCTCCCACAGTGCTGGGATGACAGGCTGAGCCACCAAGTCCGGCCAAGAAAATCCTTTTTTACAAATAAAAATTACTGCAAGCCCCAATACATAAATGGGGCCTGGGAATCCACCTGGCTGTCCCTCACTGCTGCCACACAAGGTACCCCAGTGCCCTGTCGAACCCAGTATGAAAACCACTGATGCAACACTATTCACATGGAGTTGAAAGTAGGAGACGTCTAGTGCTGCCTCTGCTGTGAACCGTTTTGCCCTGGGCAAGTCAGGGCCTTGGTTTCCCCACTCACACAATACGTCTGCTACACTGTATGCTTTTTGGAGTCTTGAACCTTCAGCTTTGGCAAGATGAGGACTGAGATTCCATATCTGCACATAAAAGTCCAACTCTAGGCTTCCATGACTTGGTATTCCAATTCTGGGACTGGGACTGCCTATAGCCGGCCAGAGCCGGCGCAGCACGCCGGAGCCCAGGCTGTGAAAAGCAGAATTCATTAACTGCAGCGCGCTGCCCAGGGGTGCTGGGTTCCTGGGGTGGGAGGACCGGAATCGGCAGCCGCTCAGTGGGCAGAGCTGGGAGAGGGACCCAGGTCTCCTGACTCCTGCTCTATCTTTAGATCTCCATAGCAACTGTCGCCAGGGCACTGGAGCTGAAGGCATGGGCTGAGCGCGGCCTGCAGGAGGAGGGAGGGGCGTCTGCTTCCCTGCCTCTGCTTTTGCTGGGAAAGGACTCTAGGCTGGGCTCTGCTCTTGAGCCAGGAAAGGGGAGACTGGAAACGAAGCCGCTCGCAGCAGGGAAGGCCTGGAGTCAATAAAAGGCAATCCAAGGCCCCACTTGGCTCTCAGGTCATGTCACAGGCCCAAGGCCTCCAGTGTGTCAGGCTCACGGCGCTGGAGGAACATCAGCAAGGGCCTCCTCCAAAGAGCTCTTAGCCTCGCCTGTGTCATTCCCTGCACACTGAGGGGGCACCTGGTCTGAGCCCACACTGAGCCACAGCTGAAGCCCCTCACAGGCCCTCTAATCCGAGGGACCAGGGAAGCCCCCCACCCCTTCCGCTGCCAACTCCTACTCCTCCAGGGGCTTGGCCTGGACGTGGCTTCCTCTGAGAAATCTTCCCTGACTCCAAGGCCGGTTTCCTCCATCTGCCCTCCACACGGTAGGATGCCAGGCGGGAGCAATGAGCCTCCCGGGGCAGGTGAGAATGGAGGTTCTGAGCAGTCAAGACACTTGCCCGAGGTCATCTGGCTAGTCAGCAGCAGGGCCAGGCCTGGACTCCACATCGTCTGGTTCCAGTCCGTGCTCCTCCCTGGGTCCCAGCGGCAGGCCCCTCGCCCGGGTTCTGGGAGGGAGGCCAAGCTAGAAGAGGAAGCATGAGTCCTCGGCAAGGCCTGCACACAGCAAGCCCCTGGCTGTGTCCTTGGTGAACTCAGCCGAGCCGCAGACCAGTGCAAATGGCTTTCTCCGACAGCAGCCAACCAGCTCTTCAATCAGGTCCTGGCCAAGGCGGCCAAAGCGGGTCTTCTCCCGGTAACTCCAGGGAAGCTGCTCTGAGGAGTCCTCCTGGGAAGATGAGAAATGGGTGTGACTACTGGGCGAACCTCAGGGTTCACACAGCCAGTTCTCTGCCAAACAAGGAACTCGAAGCAGAGGGGACGGAAAGCTAACCTTTGCCAAGCGCCACCATGGGCCAGGCCCTTCCTCATCACCTTTAAAGAGAGCCTGTGGATCGGCTGAGGCACAAAGAACAGGTGAGACATGGGGTGGAGGGGGCTACCCCAGAGCACACAGTAAGGTGGGGCAGCAGTAGGGACAGGGCTCGAGTCTCGCGGTCACTTGCTGCCTCCCCACAGCCACTGCACCTGTCACTGTGGGAGGAGGGGTGTTCTCTCCCCGAGTCCATGGGCTTCCCAGAATCTGTCCAAGGTTATCTAACACTATCACCCTTGGAGCATAGTTTTTGCTCACTTGCTTTAGGGTTTCATTCAGCAGACACTGAGTGCTCGCCCTATTCCAGGCACAGAGCTAGGCACTGGGGACATGGCAGTTGCTCAGCACAGACAAGGTTCCTGCCACGTTCTAGTCACATGTGACACAGAGCCCAGGCAGCAGTGCCTTCGTGAAGAAAGGAGTTTCTTTCTCTCACCTAAAAGGCTAAGCTTGCGTTTTTTGTTTTTTTTTTTTTAAAGCAGGATTTGAGAGGACAGAAAAGCTCCCAGAGCAGGAGGGGACCTGAGGGGGTTGCCCGTATTATTTTTTTTTGAGTCAGAGTCTCACTCCATCATCCAGGCTGGAGGGCAGTGGCACGCTCCCGGCCACTGCAGCCTCGACCTGCTGGGCTCTGGCGATCCTTCTGCCTCAGCCTTCCGAGTAGCCGGAACTACAGACACACACCACCAAGCCTGGTTAGTTTTTGTGATTTATTGTAGAGACGAGGTCTCACCAAGTTGCCCAGGCTGGTCTCGAATCTCCAGGCTCAGCAATACTCTCACCTTGGCCTCCCAAAGTGCTGGGATTACAGGCTTGAGCCGCTGCACCTGATCTAAGCTAGCATTCTAGGGACTGCTGGTACCCAAGGGACCCAGGCTTCTTCTTGATTTCTGTCCTTTCAGCCTTGGCTTGTGGCTTTCCTAGTTAGGGTCACTGAATGAAGGCTCCCCCTCCATCTGACTTGGAGGAATTTCTTCTTCTATTTTTTTTTTTTGAGTTGGAGTCTCACTCTGTCGCCCAGACTGGAGTGCAGTGGCCGCTCCCGGCCACCGCAGCTTTGACCTGCTGGGTTCCAGTGATCCTTCCGCCTCAGCCTTCCAAGTAGCTGGAACTATAGGCGTCCGCTACCATACCCGGCTGATTTTTTTATTTATTGTAGAGATGAGGTCTCACTGCCCAGGCGGGTCTCGAACCCGCGGGCTCAGGCAATCCACTCACCTCAGCCTCCCAATGGCATGGGATTACAGGCTGAGCCACCGAGCCTGATTTTCTATTTTTTTAAAGTAAACATCTTATTGAAGTATAACATCTGCATAAAAAGTATACAAATCATTAAATATACAGTTAGTCCTCTCGATCCATGGGTCCACAGCTGCAGATCAAAAATATGTTTTGTAATTCAAAAATACCAATATAACAAAATATAATACAAATAAAAACAATATACCATAACAGCTATTTATCTTGCACGAGGTAGCATGAGTAATCTAGAGAGGATGTCAAGGATACAGGAGTGTGTATGTGGCTACATGCAAACACCTCACCATTGATAGAGAGAGACTCGAGCATCCAAGGGTTTTGGTATCTGCAGGGGATCCTGGAACCATCCCCCACAGAAACCGAGGGATGACTATAAATAGATTGAAGAATTTCAGTGAAGAGAAGAAACCGTGTAACTAGCCCACAATTTAAAAAAAAAATCATCTGGCCAGGAACAGTGGCTCAAGCCTGTAATCCCAGCACACTGTGAGGCTGAGGTGAGAGGGCTGCCTGAACCAATGGGTTCGAGACCAGCCTGGGCAACTTGGCGAGACCTCCTCTCTACAATGAATCAAAAAATTAGACGCAAGTGGTAGCGCATGCCTGTAGTTCTGGCTACTTGGAAGGCTGAGGCAGAAGGATCGTTGGAGGCCAGCAAATCGACACTGGGGTGGCCATGAGCATGCCACTGCTCTCCAGCCTGGGCGACAGAGCGAGACTCCAACTCAAAAAAAAAAAATCCCAGAACAGAGTCATCACTTTGCAGAATCTCTGAGGGCCAGGCAGGAGGCCAGGACGGGGTGGAGTTGGAATCCTGGCTGCAGTGCTACTTCCTGGCAGAGTGACCATGCCCGTTCTGAGCTGTTGTGATGAGGTCACTGGCTGGAAAGTCACTGTCTGGGGAGCCACAGTGACAGGTAAGCCTGGCAGATGCCCTGTGATGAGACATCCATTCTCAAGTGCACTCACAGGGCCAGGAGCCCTGCCTCCCAGAGCCTGTGCTGACAAGGGATGCTCTCTGATGATCTGGGCTTTCCCATGCTCCCCTGTGGTCTGACCTACTCAGTGGGGCCTCACCTCTCCTTCCCTCAGGCACTTGGGTTCAGTCACCCACCCTAACTGTCAACTCTGAGACACCCTGGGTCTGGTTGCTGCTCAGGTGAGGAGGGTGTCCCCACAAACCATGACAGGGTAGCAGGTGGGTGTTGTGAAGGAGAGTGGAGGCATGGTGACAGCAACACCAAGGCCGGTACGGGGCTCTAGGAGAGCTGCCGGGATGAAACTACACCTGGGCAGGGATGCGAGGGATGCAGAGGTGTTGGGGAGGAAGAGAAGCATTCCTGCCAGGGGGAATGGCATGAGCAAAGGCCCAGCAGCCAGAAAAGCACAGCATACTTGCAACCAGGGCAGACCAGTGACACCAGGACACAGAATGCAGGGAGGGCAGCCAGGAGACGAGGCCGCAGGGGTTGGCAGTGTACCCAGGCTTGGACATCATCCTGAGAGCAGTGGGGAGCCAGGGGAGGGCTGGAAGCATGGCGATGCTGTGTCATATCTACCCTCTGTGCTGCAGGATGCAGGACAAATCGGCAGGGAGTGACTAGCCAGGGGTGAGAGTGGCCCAGGCCGGGGAGGGGGCACGCTGAGTTGGGGAATGCAGACAGGAGCACCTGCCACCCCCCTTCACCGGCCCTGCCACTGACCTCCCCCTTCACCTGCCCAACCCCAGGCCACCAGCACCATCGAAGTCTGGTGTGGAGCTGAAGATCCTCAATGGCTGGTGAACTTGAACTCAAATGCCATCTGTTGAGTGAAGCCTTCCCTGACTCCACTGGCCCTCTTTGCTTGTGCCATTGTGTTTTTTTGTTTTTTTTTGTTTTTTTTTTGAGTTGGAGTCTCACTTTGTTGCCCAGACTGGACTGCAGTGGCTGCTCCCGGCCACCGCAGCCTCGATCTGCTGGACTCTGGCGATCCTTCCGCCTCAGCCTTCCAAGTAGCTGGAACTACAGGCGCGTACTACTACTCCTGGCAAATGTTTTTTTATTTACTGTAGAGATGAGGTCTTACCAAGTTGCCCAGGCAGGTCTCGAACCCGCGGGCTCAGGCAATCCACTCGCCTCAGCCTCCCAAGGCGCAGGATTACAGGCCACCAAGCCCGGCTTGCTTGTGGCATTGTCATGGCACCTCGCACTGCCTCACTGTGATGAGCACTAAGGCCGCGACCCCTATGCAAGACCACTTGGGGTCATACCCCACTCTCCACCAACTGACTGCATTACCTTTCTGTGCCTCAGTTTCCACATCTGCACAAGAGGCATGATGGCAATACAAGCCTCACAAGACTGTGGTGGGGATTAGAAGAGCTACTATACGCAAAGTACTCAGAGTGATGCTGGGCTCTGACAAAGCGCTGAGTAAAGGGGAGTCTTCACCAGCCGTCTGTATGACTGTCACCCCTATACAGGTAAGAGCCTGGGAGGCAGGTAGTGGGTCTTCCTCATTTTTGTGTTCCTGGCATCTAGCAGATGGTCGGGGGATAGAGGAGAGGGAAGGCTGGCCAGTGGCCAGGAAGGCTCTGCCAGGAGCCTGTTATCCTACCATCCTGCCCCCATCCTCACCCAGACTCTCAGGCAGGGCTGACCATGCCGCTGGGCACAGCGGCTCTTCCCTCGCCCCCACCCCTCAGACTGCACCCTAGCCTTCAGCTTCACTCCCCTGCCTTGGGCACTTCCTGCCACTAATGTTCGCCAAGCATGGCCCTCTCGATGTTCATGCCACTCAGCCTTCTGCTCCATGGACAGGCCTGTGGGAACTCTGGTATTGGGAAGGGAAACCCAGTTTCCTGGCCCCCATACCCAGCCACAGTGCTGGATCAAAGTCTTTAGGGACTACCTAAAACTTCCTCCAGGAGGAAACTGATGAGAAGGGTGTCCCGCAGCAAGCACAGGGCAATAAGGCTGACCCAGTTGGCAACCCCCCAACCCAGGGGTGCAGGAAGAAATAATGCTACAGACCAGGGGGAGGCAGGTGAACAATGGCAGCTGAGGGCCTTGCTTGAGATAAGGGGCAGAGACGGCCCCCTATGCTATGGCCTGGGAGGAGGGCCGGGGAAGGATCCTGAGTGGACAAACAGAACGAGGAACCAGAGTGTGGGTAGTGGTCAGGAAATAGGAAATAGAGTTGCTTCCAGTTAGAGCATAGACTGGGGTGGGAAGGACCCTGACAAGGGTAGTGAATGCTGATCTAGCCTATTCCCTCGGAGACTGACAGGGTCCCCACTCTGTGCCTGGTACTATGCTAAGCACTGAAAAGAGTGCACGTCCAGACACTGGCCCCAGCCTCAAGGAACATCACACAACCTGGAGGTATGGGCCTGTCCAGGACTCCATGACGGGCTCTAGTCTACGAAATGGATGACACAAGGGGGTAGACAAGAGACAACAGAGGGTGGGGTGAGAGCTGGGCTCGGAACCATAGCCCTGGGCTCCGGAACCACAGACATGGACTTGGAGTCACAGTCCCAGGCACACATCTCAGCCTCACCCCTACCCAGTGGCAGGAGCTGGCTGGCACCTTCACCTCTGAGCTTCCATCTCCTTGTCTGTATTTATGAAAAGGGAGACACTTGCCTTCCATGCCAGGCACAGCATAGGTGCTCACCCATGGCAGGGATTATTGCTACGGGATCAGTGCTTAGCCTGGGACAGAGAGGAAACGGCTGGTCCTCAGGACGGGTGCAAGGGGACTGCAGAGTCTCAATCATGGAGGGAAGTCACCACCCGGGCTCACCTGGCTGAGTACAAAGAAGGTGCGGACATTCCAGAAACGGGACTGTTCCTGGAGGAAGGCCTTTAGGTAGATGCCCTCGAAGGTCTTGAAGCAGCTGACCAGAGTGACAAAGGTCTCGTCATCAGCATTGTCTGTGATGCTCTGCAGGATGGGCACCATGGGAGCCAGGCCCGTGCCCGCAGCCAGCATGAGGAGCTCACCATACTGGGAACAGAGGAATATGTGACAGGCAGGTTGCGGGGCGTCTCACCCCACCCACCCCATTATGGGGCTTTTTCCTGGGCTTCCTTCAACTAGACAGCAGTGCCCTTCCTGGGTGTCTACCCATTTATGTCCCCTGCCTGCCTCTACCAGGAAGCCACCTTAGCTTGTGAAAGGCATGTGAGGTTTAGAAAATAGCGGTTATATCACTCAAAAGTGGACCATGAATATTTACCATAATACTATAAGAAAGGGTTTGGCAGTAGCAGGATCTGCTGGGGTGGGGGTGGGGATACAACAACAATAAGGGTACCTCATCTCAAACCAGGCAGTGTGGGGACCAAAGGGAGGCGCACACTTTACCTGTACGATGTCCACTTGTGTACCTAATCCTGAATTACCCCACATCTTTAAAATAAAGTATTTTTTTAAAAAAGAAACCAAACAGAGATTGTAGTGTCTTGGTGCTGAAAGGGAACATAACAGGGTAGCCAATCCTGTAAGTGGCTTGGCTGCCTACTGAAGCATCCCCAAAGGGCTCTCTGCTTACATGCTCCTGCCAACAGGGAGCTCGCCCCCTCCCAAGGCTGCTTGCTCTATTATGGGCTGACTCTCCTTGCCAGGAAGGTCTGCCCACCTTGCATCGAGTTGAAACCTGCTCCACACCAAAGCCTTGCCCACTCCCTATCCCATCCCAGCCCTCCTCAAAGGGCTGCTTCCTCTATGCCTAGACTAAATGAGATGATAAACAGAGGCATGTAATACAGCACTGGCACAAAAGAGCTGCTCAGAAAAGGTGAGTTCCTGCCCCAAGAGGCCCTGGTTCCATCAACTCCTCTTCACTGAACCCATTTCCTAGTTCTAGGCCTCTTGGAGAGGGGTGGTCCTCCTTAAGGTCAATGCCTTAAAGGTTAGTGCCTGATGCATGCAGAGAGGTATTCACCTCTCATTCTAGAGACCAGGCTTCTGTGGATAAATCCCTAACCATGTGATCTGGGCAAGCTCTTTCACCAATCTGAGTCTCGGTTTCTTCACTGGCAAAATATTAGAGCACCTCCTCAGAACAGCACCTATCTCAGACTTGTTGTGAGAATTAGATAAGATGATGGAACATGGCTGGTCTGGAGGCTAGGCTTAATCCAATGAGATTCCTTTCTGTCCCTGAGCCCCTGAGACTCCAGCAGTCAGCGGCTGCTGGGCTACATCTTCCTGTCCTGCCTCTGTGCTCTCTCCAGGTCTCTGGCCGGTCATGCTGCTCCTCTCTCCCATCTCAGCTTGGGCTATCCTCAGGAAGCTCTCCCAGGCCGAGAGCAAGGGAAGGGTCCTTCCTTTCTGTCCCCATAGCTCCCCGTGCATCCTTTACAAACACTGGTCACACTGTTATTGTCAGCTGTGTGTATGTCTCCCTCATTAGACTATGAGCTTCTGGAGGACAGGGGCCTCGTCTGACCCTCTCTGGGTCCCCGGAGTGCAGCATGGGTGTGCCCTGGGTGGACACTTATGTCTGCTGAATGGACACATAGACGCTAACGTGTCAGTCCTCAGGGCTGATGTAATATCCATCTGTAATGAAAAGGACTGCAGAGTAGTAAAGCAGGGCCCAGGAGAGGGCAGGAGCACCCTGAGCGTCTTTCCTCCTGGGAGCAAAGCTGAGACTTCGCTTAATTTCAGTGGCTGAATATTAATGTGTGAGACTGCATTTCTTTATCCTCACAGCCAGGCCCTACAATCTCCTGGATAAGAAGTGCAGGGGCTTTCCGACATTCTGTGGATGTAATGGAGGCTCCACTGAACAGGCGGTCAAGACAACATTCATCCGGGATCCACCCTAGGCCAGGAGGAAAGACGCTCAGGAGGAAACAGAACAGTTCCCATTCCCTGCTCTGGAGGGCTTGGGAAATCCAGGGGCACATTCTGCTAGGATGCAAGGCTCGGCGTGGTTAGAACCAGAAGAACACTGTGGAAAAGCACTGATATATGCACATCACATATCTGCAGAATAGGGGTGGTGGCATCTGAGCTGTTGTCAAGACACATGAGTTACTGCATGGCAAGTGCCAAGGACAGAGCCTGGCGTGCAGGAGGCAACACATATGTGTTTGAGATTATTATACACGCACATACGTGTGTGTGCATCTGTACATAAACTCAAGTGGGAGAGGCTTTGGAAGGATATTTACCAAGGTAGTAAGATTGGTATATCTGGGTAGATGGCCTGGGGGTGTTTATTTTCTTCTTTTTTTGCCACTATCTGCTGATTTTTTGGGTAATGAGCATGCATTGCATTTGCAATAAGGAAAAAAACCCAATAAACCAATAAAAGCTATTTTTAAATTAAAGAAAAAGAATGGAGAGGAAGGCATGATTCATTCTCTTCCATTTGTTTTTGTTTTGCTTTGTTTTCCTAATTATAAAGGTAATAGGTGTTCACTGCAGATAATTTAGAATGTATAATGAAGAAAATAAAAATCACTATAATTTCACCACCCAGAGCTACAAATATTTCATTGCATTTTCTTTTATTATTTTTTTTAAGACGTAGGGCACAGTTCAGGGTTAGGTACATAAGTGGTCAGCATACAAGTAAAGTTTGGGCCTCCCCTTGGTCCCCACTTTGTCTGGCTTAAGATTGGGTACCCGCCAGACTTGGTGGCTCACGCCTGTAATCCCAGCACTTTGGGAGATCGAGGTGAGAGGACTGCCTGAGCCCACGGGTTCAAAACCAGACTGGGCAACTTGGCGAGACCTCATCTCTACAATAAATAAATAAATAAATAAATAAATAGCTTGACATGATGGTACATGCCTGTAGTTCCATCTACTTGGAAGGCTGAGGCAGAAGGATTGCCTGAGCCCAGCAAGTCGAGGCTGCAGTGGCTGTGAGCTTGCCACTGCACTCCAGCCTGGGAGACAGAGTGAGACTTCAACTCAAAAAAAAAAATGTTTGGGTACCCTTACTGATGTTATGTGCCCTGCCACTGCATTTTCTTTTTGTAGTTTCTCTGCATTTTAATTGAGTTTCCCAATCTGCTGTATATTCAGTTTTGTACCCAGTGTTTGTCACTTGATCACATAGCATACGCATATACATCATTTATAAACATCATCTTAAAATCCAGGATATTACTTTATCAAGTGCTTGTAGCCCTGAACTGTTACCCTGTTTTTGCATATTCACTTGTCTCCAATTTTATGCTATTATAAATAGAGATGTAATGAACATATGTAGAAGATTCATTCCATGTGATACGCTTCCAGAAGTGAAATGACTGGGTCAAAGGATTTGAGGACTCTTGGCACATGCTGGCAAACTGCTTTGCAGATATGCAATAACTGATGAGGAGCTGCTCATTCTTCCTGGGAAAGTCAGGAAGGAAGTGGACGTGCCATGGAGATGAGGGGCCAGAGCTTTCTATGTTGGGATACCGTGCGCTCCCAAGCAGAAGCCAGGGGCTGTATTCAGTCGTGAACTGGAACGTGAATTGGAAAGACATTTGAGGGTCAGATGTATAGGGTCCTAAACTCCACGTACATGAGTGCGGTTTTTTCTTTTCTTTTCTTTTTTTTTGAGTTGGAGTCTCACTCTGTCACCCAGGCTGGAGTGCAGTGGGCGTGCTCATGGCCACCACAGCGCTGACCTGCTGGGCTCTAGCGATCTTTCCACCTCAGCCTTCCAAGTAGTCGGAACTACAGATGCACGCTACCAAGTCTGGCTAATTGTTGATTTACTGTAGAGATGAGGTCTTGCCAAATTGCCTGGGCAGATCTCGAACCCACGGGCTCAGGCAATCCACTTGCCTCGGCCTCCCAAAGTGCTGGGATTACAGGCTGAGCCACAAGTGTGGTTTTCTAAGCGATGGGGGGCATGGATAGTTCTGGAGCTGGGTGGGCAGTCTTGTCTATTAGTACCTATCTCATTCCCCTCTGTATCCAACCCCAAGGACACACTCGGGGTTGGATTTGATCTTAGGCACAGTGAGACTCTGTAGCCTAAAATGTGGAAACCACAGCCCTAGAGGATGAGCCAGGGGAATTTCTTGCAGACTCAGGATGCTGGCACTGACCTGGTTTGGTTTATAGAAGAAACGTCCGAAGGGTCCTCGCCAGAAAGCTGTGTCACCTGCTTTCCAGGACTTGACATACTGGGACATCAGCCCAGTCTGGTAGCACTGGAAGCAAGCACAGGGAGACCTCAGTGGGACAGGCACAAGCTGCCGATGCGACGCAAAGCACACCGGCCACTATTGAGGAGGTCTTCTTGCATGCTAAGTGCTTCTCACATGCTATCTCACTTAGGCCTACTCCTTATCTTCTTGTCGGTAAAGTCATTCCCGATTTTCCAATGAAGCCCCGAAACTTACACAGAAGGCACAAGACGAGGCTAGAATGAGACTTCCATGGGACCTGTAGCCTTCAGCATTCAGTCACAAACCAAATGCCCACGGGGACCACACAGGTCCCATAATTGAGTGAAGAACTGGGTGAGGATTAACTGCCATTAACAATCAGTCTCAGGGAGCCAGTAGGGGGTAGTGGATGGTAGTGGGGACTGGGATAAATTGGTGAGTGAATGCTCCTTCTAAAGGGGGAAAGTCATTTTGCAGGTTCTAGTTCACAGTTTGCGGGGCCAATGATTCCAGATCTACTCATTTTCCAAAAGGAGTAGGAAACTCATATTTTTATTTAAAATCTCCCAAGTCTGCAATTCACTCAAAAGTTTAAGACCCTGTGCAGGCCAACACCAAGTACACTTGTGGACTGGATTTGGCTTGTAGCCAGCCATCCATTTGCAGCCTTCCCATTATCCCACACCATCTCCTGGTTGGAGCAAAGCATGAAGGTTGTAGAGTGATCCCCATGGGGTGAGGGCAGTCTATATGTCCTGGGTGCCTGCCCACTCTGTGTCAGGCACCGTGCTGGGGCTGCAGGGGAGGTGGCTAGACCTTAAGCTCCAGAAAGGCAGCCAGCGTCTGAATCACGGAAAAATTTTAATATATAACTGGATGAATGAATGAACCAATCCATCCAGATTCAGTCTCTTCCCTTAAGGAGTTCATAATCTAGGAACGACCTAAAGTCTCAGACACATACAAGGTAGAAACTAATTCACAGCTGTGAGAAGGACAAAGTGCTAGGAGAGCCCTTGGGTGGGTGCAGTCACTTCCATGGAGTAGGAACAAAGATGGCTTCCTGGAGGAAGAAGTATTTGAGCTGGGCCTTGAGCAGGAGTGCAGAGGAGACTTTGGACATCAGGTGTGGAATGGTCAGGAATAGGACAGCTGGGTCATGTTTTGGGAAGAACAAGTAGATGGTGGCGTAGGGGCGAGGGATACACTGGGAAACAGGCCTGGCAGGGTGTCTGGAGTGAGATTGTAGCCAGCCTCGAAGAAGAGACTGGGCTCTTTTCCCCCTGTTTTTAAGCATCCATCACTGTCTCCAATTCCATCCCTGACTTCCTTGGACATCATCGGCTCACCTGGGAGAGGTCTGGGAGGTAAATGAAGGCTCCTGCCTTGTGGAGGCTGTGTCTAGGTGGGTACTTTGCTTTCTGGCCCCAGTCCTGGGGGAGGCACAAGCCCAGCTGTGGCCTTAGAGGTCCTATAGCACAGATAGCAACCAGGGAAGAGGGAAGGACTCTTCTGTGTCTCTAGCACCCACAGAGAGCCTGGCACAGAGTAAACGCTCAATACACACTTGCTAAACAGAACTGATACCAAACTGCTGTCCTTCCACTTGGGATCATGTTACGAGGAGCCTGGGATAAATATGTCATCTCTCTGAGCTTTAGTTTCTTCCTCTGTAAAATGGGGATACTAGAATCTACTCTGCAGGGTGGTTAAGAGGTTGAAAGGAGATAAGAGAATAAAGAACCAGAAGCGGGGCCTAGTGCCCAGGAGGGACCTGAGAGATGGGAGTTCCTCCTTTCCTTCTGCACAGGAGGGTCAACCCACACAACCCCACCTGCCTGCCCAATTTGCAGAGATATTTCCTGCTCTTCCCAGCCAGGGGCTTAGCGATAATTAAGCATCTCTCTAAAGAGAGGCTTTCCGGTAAACGAAGGAGAAAATCAGCCTCGCAGCTGGGAAAGATCCAGCTGCCCTGAAGAACTGTCTCCAGGCTTATCCTTTCAGCAGAAACACACCCAGACAAGCAGCTTGGGGAAGCAGGCCATTTGGAGAAGATTTGTGGAATCTCCCAGACAAACAGTCGCATGGAGAAGGGATCCCATCCAAGCTTATGTGTGAGGGAATCAACGTTGGGCTCTGAAGGCAGGAGCTGGAGGCAGAGCTGGGGTCTGTCAGGGGGCCTTACTAGCTGCGGTGCTTGGGGTCCTCCTGGGGGCCTCAGTTTGCTTATCAATGAAATAGAGATAATAATTCATGTCTCTTAAGGTAGTCTAAGGATGCGAAAGTTGTTTTTAAATACTGGCACTCCTCAGAATTCCATTTGGGAAATGATGTTCTGGGGCTACATGCTAGGTTGACCCATATGAAATGAATTTTTCTTAAGTCAAAAATGTTCATGTATCAGCAATTTCATGTAGTTCCACCTAATTATTTCCCCACATAATTGGATCTCCAGACTTCTTACATGTTTGTTGCCTCCTCCCTGGGCCTCCAGGGTGCTCTGTCTGCATCCAGCCCTCTTTGTTCACTTCGCCTCATCCCTGCCAATTCCCCCACCCACCTGGCTGCCCCATGAGCAGCCCTTCCTCCCGCCACTCAGACTGGGTACAGTTCCCAGAAGGCTGGTTCTGTTTCATTCCCTTCTGCCTTTGGTCACCCATCCCCTTGGCCTGGAATGCCACTCCTGGCCACTGCCAATTTGTGTTCCTTCTTTAAGGCCCAACTCAATGCCCCTGCCCACCTCCCTCTGAGAAGTGATGTCGGGTTAGTCCAGTCCACAAAGTCCTTCACGGTTACTTCTTGCCTGATGCTTTCAACTTGTACCCACTCCCTTGGCACACTCCCCTTCTGTTCCAGGACCAACGTCATGTCTCTTTCGTCTCTGTTCCAGCACTCAGAGCTTCCTTTCCACACTCTTCCTCTCGTTCTTGCTCCTTGACCACACAGCTTCTCCAGGGAAGCCCAGCCTGTCCACCCTTCACCGCCAGCAGCCAACTGTCATGTGTCACAGCATCTATCGTGCTGTGTCATCCTGATCTGGCCGCTTGTCCTCGGTGGGTTCCTTGAGGGCAGGCAATGTGCCTGCCTCACCTCTGGACCCCATGCTCAGCACAAAGTGGGTGTGGGGGGATGTGGCTCCCCCTCTCCCTAGCCGGTGCTCACTCTTCACTGATGGTGAAACAGTGAAGGCATTTCCCCTTCTTAGGCTAAGCCTCCTTTTAGCAAAATCTGTCAGGAATATGCTGGACTAGACCTCTGCGGGTGGTCCAGCAGCCTCCCTTTTCTAGGGAAGAAGGAGACAGGAGAAGGCCTCCTTCACCTGTTCCTGCTTCTCCCTCAAGTCAGCCTCCTCCCCTGCCAACATGGCTTTTCCCAAGTTGATGGAAAGTGCCTCCCCCAACCAAGCTGCCAAAGGAGGTACCAGTCCCTGGCCTCTCAGAGCATCCTTGTGGCCAACTCACCTTAATTAACACTTCAAAGTATCCCTCTGCATCAGCAGGGCTGATGGGCGTATAGGCTCTCTGAATTTCTAAGCCATCTACTATCCCTCTGGGGAAAAAAAGCATGCAGTCAGGCAGTCAGCCAGTCATTCAACAAACCCTTATCAGACACCTCCGCTGCCAGGCTGGTGGAAGTGAAGGTGGAGTCTGGTCATCCCCAGAGATCCTCACTGAGCAACAGCAGAAAAAGACAGCACTGCTGTCACATGCTGGCTGCGAGCCCACGCAGGTCACTTCATCCCCCAGGGGTTCTTCTATAAAATGGGGACAGTCACCCGTGTCTCAGTTGTGAGGCTTCGTTGGGATCCCAGAAGGGAGAGCCCATCAAAAAGTGCTCCGAGGATGTGAGCTGTTTGGGGACATGACTGTGCTTCTTCCTGACCACTTCTCAACCAAAGAACGATAAAGATAAAAACAACTGTTAACGTTAATTAAACACTCACTGCCATATGCCAGAAGCATCAGAACTGGAGGGATCCTGCAAGGGGCCCTAGTCCAAAGTCCCGCCCGGTGTATGAATCCTGTTATCAACAACAGGGCCAGGATAACAACCATGAGTCATAGTAACAGCCAAGGTGTCTTAAGCACCAACTGTGCGCCAAGCATCTTGTGTGCATGACCTCACATAAGTAAGCAACAGCCCAGTGCTTGGTGCTCAGAGAAGTCACCTGCACAGCTGGAGTTCAGCCATAGCTGACTCTAGAGCTGATTCCTCACACAGTCCCTCAGAGCTTTCTGGGAGCACCTACACACTCCTCTTGCAAGTCCTACTACAAGCAAAGCTTTCTTTTTTTTTGAGTCGGAGCCTCACCCCTTTGCCCAGGATGGAATGCAGTGGCACGCACATGGCCACGCCAGCATCGACCTGCTGGGCTCTGGCCATCCTTCTGCCTCAGCCTTCCAAGTAGCCAGAACTACAGGTGCACTCCACCATGCCTGGCTAATTTTTGATTGATTATAGAGACGAAGTCTTGCCAAGTTGCCCAGGCTGGTCTCGAAACCATGGGCTCAGGCAATCCTCTTGCCTCGGCCTCCCAAAGTGCTGGGATGACAGGCTGAGCCACCGACCCAGTCAGGCAAAGCTTTCTTTTCTGAGGTATGCAGATGACAAAGGCCTTGACCCAATGCACCAGAAGCTGGGTAGAAATAGCTAATAGATGCTTATGTGACAAACGAGCAAACAAGGAACAGAACACGATATGACTTGGATACGAAAGCACTATGACACCTGCTGCAGCAGAGGCCAAACTGACATGCTTAGAGGGGACCTTGGGACCCCATGGAGTTGGGTATGAAGGATGAGCACTTTCACCCACTGACAGGTGAAAGTGGGAACAGGAAGGAGAGTCATTCCAGGCAGAAGGAACAGCCTGGGCAAAAGCCTGCAGGCAAGACAACGTGGGCGAGTCAGGAACTGGCAAGTGAGAAGGAGGCTGAGACAAAGAGTGGGGCGCATGTGTGTGTGTGGGGGGGGACACTTGGTGGGAAGGGATGCTTTCAACTTGTACCCACTGTGGAGGCACTGTGGCACACCAGGTGTCTGAACAGGGAGCAACATGGTGAGATGTGTGTGTCGGGAAGGTTCCTGGAGGGAAAGTGAGGACGGCAGAGAGGAGTCAACAGAGGAAGGGGCTCTGAGCATCCTGGTTTACAGGTAGAAAATTGCGTGGGGCTGTGACCTGCCCTGTGATCCCTCCTGCCCACTGGAATAGTGGCCTTCTATTCCAACCTGCAGGCCAAATGAGCTGGACACAAATACCAGGGTCCAGTGTGAGGCAGCCAGCCAGAGTCTGATCAGCAATGAGCTTTCTTCCAATCCCAATCACCTTCTCTTTGACTACACCTCCAGTCTCTTCCACTGACAACTTGTCTCCTTGCCAACACTGTAATGCTGACATTTCCAGGGGTCAGTCCTATGTCCTGCCCTTCTTCCATGTGCACATGTTCCCAGATGCCATCCAGGTATGCACAATGATTCTGGAATCCACGTCTGCAGCTCAGATCTCTCTGCCGAGCCTCAGACCCGCAGACCCACTCCCTGGCAGACACTCTACCTGGATATCCCAAAGGGTCTTGCATCTAGGCGGGTCTGAGGGTCTGGGGACCAGGGTGGGAGGAGGGCACCTAAGCAGGCTGGGAGGAAGAAGGAACCTTGGAGGAGTGGCCAAGAGTGTAACTTGGGAGCGGGGCTGTCTGGGTGTGAATCCTGGCTCCATGACTTGTTAGCTAAGGTGATGGTGGGCAAGACCCTTTTCCTCAGTGACGGTGTCCTTTCTGCCAGTGGGTACTCATCATCTTAGTTTAACATCATGGGCTCTACAATCACACTGTTTGCCTTCCAGTTCTGGGGCCAAAAGTTCCTAACTGTGTGACCTCAGGCAAGTTTCTGATCCTCCCTAACTTCCGTTTCCTGTCCTACCACGCAGGACTTTGTGAGGGTGAAATGAGTTCATATTTATAAGCACATGGAACTGTGCCTTGGATAGTGAACACTATTAAAGTGCTCGGATTCCTTTTATTTATTGTGAAAATATGTTATTTAGTTCCATCCCAAGAACCCTCTGAGTCACATATCATTATGCCTGCTTTGAAGAAGACAAGTGGAGGCGTAACAGAGGTGAAGCAAGTTCCCCGAAGCCACCAGCTAACGGACAGCAAAGCAGGGCCACAAGGCTCTGGTCCTCCCGCTCCCCAAGCGTACCGAAGGATGAGGTGCTGGCCGGGTCGCAGGCCAAGCGGGCAGTTTCCCGGGAGCGCAAAGCGGATGCAGTAGGTGTCCTGAGTGAGTTTGTCCACAGCACTGATGCGGAAGGCTAGAAAGGTCTCTGGGCTCAGCTTGGAGGGGCAGCTCTGCAACAGGAAGAGACCCAACAGCTAGAGGCAGGGCTCAGCGGGCACATGAGCATCCTCCCACCATCCCCTCTTCCCTGAGGAGAGGCTGTCTCGTGGCAAGCTTCCGGTATGATGGAGAGCAGCAGCCTCACCTAACTTCCCTTTCGTGACCAGATCCAAGAATGCCAGAGCACTTTACACTGAGCTTACCCTGCTCTTAAGCCTTCCATGGCTCCCCTTAGCCCCAGAGTAAAGTGCAGACTCCTTATTATCTGGACACTAAGGGGCCTGCAGATGGCTCGCAAGCCTCATTTTATCTCCCGTGCATTGAACGCCAGACTTTTCTCCATCCTTCCAAGAATATTCTGCTGCCTCCTACCCAAGTCTTTATTTTTATTTTGTTTTTGTTTGTTGAGTCTGGGCTCACTTTGTCACCCAGGCTGAAGTACAGCAGCACAAGCACGGCTCATTGCAGCCTTGACCTCCTGGACTCAAGTGATCCTTCCACTTCAGCCTTCCAAGTAGCTGGGACTACAGGTGTGCACCACCATGTCCAGCTAATTTTTTAAATTTTTCTGTTTTTTGTACAAATGCGGTCTTGCTATGTTCTCCAGGCTGGTCTTGAACTTCTAGGCTGAAGCGGTCCTCCCGCCTCAGCGTCCCAAAATGCTGGGATTATAGGCATGAGCCACTGTGTGCCTGGACCTTGAGTCTTTATTTACTCAAGCTGTGTCCTCTATCCAGAACATTCATCTCCAGTGTATAAAAGAACTACCCATTTTTCAAACATGCAGAAATTAGAAACTGATGGGTCCTCAGAGATTATTGAATCCAACATCCTTCTCTTACATACAGAGATTGAGGCCTGAGTGGTAGTAGCTTACTTGTCCAAGGTCACGCTGTGAACAAGGACTCAAATTCATGCCTTCTGAGTCTCAGCCTACTACCCTTGGCATTCCGCCCTGACCTGCATCTCTTCTAGGAAGCCTTCTCTGAATGCCATGACTCACAGATCTTTCTCTCCTATAAAATGCCTACACTTGATTCCCTCCTGGAAATCACTACTCCCACCATGCCCAGCCTAGGTCTGGCACCATGTGTTCCTGCAGCACCAATTCTGGACCCCAATTATCCATGTGGTGCTAACAGTGTCACCAAACTGACAGAAGCTCTCAGACTTGGCACCCAAGGCTCTGACCCCTTTGTGCCCCTTCCCACAACCTCCATCCAAGATGGCCAGGGCGCCTGGGCATCCTCCGTCCCAGCTGACTCTTGACTGGGCTGGATGTCAGGAGAACTGGGGTTAGTCCCAGCTCCGTTGTTACCCACCTGTGGAGCCTTAGGCATATTATTTAATCCTCTGGTTCTTAGTTTCTTAGTCTATAAAAAGGGCACATTCATCCCTGATAACTTTATGGGGTTATCATAGGGTCAGATGAGATACAATGTAAGAGCATTTTATAAAATGTAAATTATTATGGAAATATAAAATATTTTACAGCTGGGCACAGTGACTCATGTCTATAATCCCAGCACTTTGGGAGGCCAAGGTGAAAGCATTGCCCGAGTCCATGGGTTCGAGACCCGCCTGGGCAACTTGGTGAGACCATATCTCTACAATAAATCAAAAATTAGCTGAGCATAGTGGCGCATGCCTGTAGTTCCAGCTACTTGGAAGGTTGAGGCTGAAGGCTCACCTGAGCCCAGCAGGTCAAGGCTGTGGTGGCCATGAACATGCCACTGCACTCCAGCCGGGGTGACAGCATGAAAACTCCAACTCAAAAAAAAAGAAAACTATTTTTCAATTATTAATTGCTTCAGTAAAAGTTTTAAAATGAAATTTATTATTAAACTGAAATATTTTATTTTATAAGACTGACAAAATCTTGTAATATCATTTAAATTTCTGTTATAACAGGTGATGACAGCTACTATTTACTGAGCATCTACTACGTTCCAGGTGCTTTATGTATTTATCCCATAAAATACTCATAGCAACCTACAAAGTATTAACATCCCCATTTTTCAGATAACAAGACAGGTTTAGCAAACTAAAATGGTACTCCCCAACATCCACAATTAACTGGCAGAACTGGGTCTCAGTTTATACCCTTTCTGTGATATCCCTGTGGTTCTCTGTCCCTCTTCTATAAGCGGAGTTGTTTGAGGGCTGATGCCCTGTCATCTTTACCATCAACCTCCTTATGCCTAGCACATAGGATATGATGCTCAGTAGATCTGGGATAAACTCATTCATTCATTCAACAAATATTTACTGAACGCTGATTGTAATGCTCAAGGAACTGCTCAAAGTGCTGAGGATGGAACAGTGAGCAAGACACAGGCCCCTTCTCTTACAGAACTGGTATTTCAGTGAGGAGACACAGACAGTACACACATCAACAAGGACATCTAGGTGGCATCTGGCAGTACTGAGTTGGGAAGAACACAATTTGAGCAGAGATCACAAAGAAGTAAAGGGCTGAGCCATGTGGAGATGGGGGGCAGTGAGAAGGAAAAACAGAGGTCGTCATGAACATCCCCCAGTCACTGGCAGAAGACAGAGGGCTCTGGCCCCACCACCTTCCTACCACCTTCCTGCGGCAGAACGACAAGAAGATGTTTCGCAGGGATAAATATGAAGTCACGTTTTGGGGTTCAAAAACAACTGTATTTGTTCAGGATGGATGATCTACAGCTTAGGAACAGCACATGTAACAGTGACTAAGCTTTGGCCCAGCTCTGGTCCCAACGATGGGGAATGGCTGGCTGGAAAGCGATGGTGCTGCAGACTGAGTTAACAGAGGCAGAAATGGGAGGTGACGTCTCTACCCCACATCAGTCAGGAGGGACACAGACAACGGGAAGACTGTTCAAAGAAGGGAGACCAGGATGGGGACAGATTTGAAACCAGACCTGTGCACAGTGTCAGAAGGAATGAGTCCTCAGTTTCCTTATCTGTATAATACATGGATTGAGCTCCACGGTGTTCTACCATCTACATTTACAACTGTGAACCTTCCCAAACGTTACAATAAAGGGCTAAACCTGATCCCCTATGAGGCCGCCTAGGAGTTCAGAAAAGGAGAGAAAAGTACTAAGGGCCAGACCAGAAGAAATACCAAACAGCATTCCCTGCTTCCCTAGTATAAACCATGCGCTAGCTTTCTCCAAAAGGACAAAGACTGTGTCTATCGTGCTCACTCTCAAACCCCCAATGCCTCATAGGACCCGGGGTATAATAGCTCCTCAGTAAATATCTGTTAAATGAAATGAGTACCAAGCTCTGTGCTAAACATCCCAAATGGTTAGCCTCGTCTTACAGATGGGGAAACTAAGGCTTAGAGAGATGCAGAGACTTCGCCTGAAGCCACATAGTGGCTCAGAAGTTTGTTCCTGAGCTGGACTCTGACCCTGGATCTGTTTGCTTCCATCAAGGATACTCTTTTCTCTCTGCTGTACAGTCGAGGCAGGCTTCCCAGAGCAGGGACGCTGGGCAGGCTGAGGCAGGTAGACTGCCACCCTGGCCCTCTTGTCTGAGGAGTAGCCGCCCTCACCTGGGACTCGTGCCCACTCAGCAGGCTCCTGTCCTTGCTGGCCAGGGCTGCCTCCCAGCGGGCCAGGTCTCGGTGGTAGAGATCAAACACGCAGGGCGAGCAGCCGCTGCCGCAGCACTGAGAGGACAAGGGCTCCACGGGCCGCAGCTGCAGCCAGGCTTCCTCGGTGGCGGCGTCATCCTCCTCCCTCTCACTCATGGTCAGTGGGGCTCCACCAGCCTGGGAGGGACGAGTGGGCGTTCTTCCCAGAACAGACCAGGCTCTGTGAAACTGCGGGCCCAGGCCTGGCTCCCTTACCAGCCTGGGAGAGGAAAGACATGGAGTCACACTGTAGCCTCCCCTGTTCTTCACGCTCTCCCCAAGCCCTGTGCAAGCCCTGGGACAGGGAGGGATCAACCAGGGACTCTGCCGGCTGGTGGGACACCTAGCACCTACTGTCACTGGGGAAGAAGGGCAGTCCCTCTAGGTGAAAGGAATCTTTCCTCAATAGGGGAAAGGTTCTAGCTTCAGAAACCTGTCTCTACCGCTGGAGGTTGAAGCTGTGGTGAGCCATGATTGTGCCACTGCACTCCAGCCTGGGTGACAAAAAAAAAAAAAAGCAAGCTCACTGAATTTGAAAATGTTTACATGATGAAGTAAAATGATGAAGTCATACAACTGAATGAATTACAAAACTATTTAAAAAAAATTAAACATCGGCCAGGTGCGGTGGCTCACACCTAGAATCCCAGCACTTTGGGAGGTCGAGATGAGAGGATTGCCTGAGCCCATAGGTTTGAGACCAGCCTGGGCAACTTAGAGAGACCTAATCTCTACAATAAATCAAAAATTAGCTGGGCATGGTGACACATGCCTGTAGTTCCAGCTACTTGGAAAGCTGAGGCAGAAAGATCACCTGAACCCAGTAGGTTGAGGCTGCGGTGGCTAGGAACATGCCACTGCCCTCCAGCCTGGGTGACCAGAGTGAGACGCCAACTCAAAAAAGAAAAAAAAATTAAAAGTATTATAAAAGAACACCTGTGAAACTACCAGTCAAGTAAAAAGAACCTTGCTAGTTTGCCAGAGCCACCCAAGGCTCCCCTCTGTGCCTTCAGGGAGTTTCAGCAGGATGGGACCCCATATGGACAAAGGTAGTGTCTTATTCTTTCTCTATTCTACTGCCAAGCACAGCCTGACACATAATCAGAGCTGGTAACCAAGGTCTCCTGATCGTCTCCTGTGCCGAGTGCTATATTAAGCACGTTACATAGAAAAGCTCATGAAGGCTGGGTGTGGCGGCTCCCACCTATTCCCAGTGCTTTGGGAGGCCAAGGTGGGAGGATCACTTGAGCCCAGGAGTTTGACACCAACCTAGGCAACATAGTGAGATCTCATCTCCACAAAAAAATAAAAATAAAAATAGCCAGGTATGGTGGCATGTACCTGTAGTTCCAGCTACTCCGGAGGCTGAGGCAGAAGGATCGCCTGAACCCAGGAGGTCAAGGCTGTGGTGAGCCACGATTGTACCACTGCACGCTAGCCTGGGTGACAAAAAAAAAGGAAAGCTCATTGAATTATGAATACATGCAACTGAACGAATTACAACAATTACTTTTAAAATTGAAAATACTATAGAAGAACACCTGTGGAATGGTACCAGTCAAGTAAAAAGAACCTTGCCAGCGTCCCAGAAGCCACCCAAGTGTCCCCTCCTGATCATAATCTCCCTTACCCCAGGTAACCATCATCCCGACTTTTGTGACAATTATTTCCTTTCTCCCTAGTTTTGCCACCTTTTCTTGCAATCCTAGCCTCTACAATTCAACTCTGCCCAGTTTTTAACCTTTATATTAATAGAATCACACTGATGTATTCTTCCCTGTCTGGCTTCTTTCACTCAGCATTGCTGGTAAGTTACCTACCCAACTGTTGCATCTCATTCAATCTTTGCAACATTTTATAAAAGAAAAATTGGGGTCTAGAGAGTGTAATGACTCAACCAAGGTCATATAGTTCCTAAAATGGTGGCACTAGGACTTTGATTCTGGTACATCTGGCTTTAGAATACATAGTTCTTCAATCACAGGAACCAGGATATGGAGACTGTTATGGTCCCGGTGAGATGTGATGAGAGCCTGGACCAGGGCAGCATCAGGCAGGACACGAAGGCAGGGGTCAGTTGGAGAAATGCTGAACCAGGAGTTAACAGGACACAGAGACTGACTAGGTGGGAAGGAACAAGGGGGATGGGGTGAAGGGACATCCAGCCCCTTGGATCTGGCTTAGACTTCAGGTGGACAGTGGGCTCAAGAGATGCTGAGTTTTAGGGGAAGGGGAAGGATGGAAGGACGATACACTCAGCTTGAGGTATGCCGCATGCCCATGGGCAACCAAGTGCAAAATCCAGTTGTGAGTTTAATGAAACAGATCTAGAAAAGAGTCTAGAGATGAAGAGCAGGGTGTCAGACAGCAAAGGAGGGTGAGTAAAGGAAAAACAGGTACAGGTGAAGGCTGCCTGGCCTCACTGCTCCACAGAGAACACCACACACTTAGGCCAGCCCTGGTCATTGCGGGCGCTCAAAACATTTTTATTTTCTGAGTTGGGGCCTCATTCTATCATCAGGCTGGTTTGCAGTGACACGATCATGGCTCACCACAGCCTCAAACTCATGGGCTCAAGTGATCTTCCTGCCTTTACTTCCCTAGTGGCTGGGACTAAAAGCATGCACAATCGTGTCTGGCTAATTTTAAAATTTTTTGTAGAGACAGGGTCTTGCTATGTTGTTGCCCAGGCTGGTCCCGAACTCCTGGGCTCAAGTAACCCTACCGCCTTAACCTCCCAAAGTGCTAGGATTACAGGCATGAGCCACTGCATCCGGCCTCAAAAACACTTTTCAAATGAATGAGTCTCTACCTCACAGCATTCACACTATGCAGAAATTACATGTTCATGTGTTCTTTTTAAAACTGAACTCCTTGAGGGCAGAGTTTTGCTTTCCTTCACTCTTGAAATAGCATAGTGGTTATTGTCTTAAAATATGTGTTATATAGAAGAAAGGAAGAAAGAGAGGAGCCTGATTTTAGGGCTATTAGGTAAACATAGTCTGAACATCAGATCAGCGAGGAAAAATTAAAGGGCTAGGAATTATTTTGAGATGTTTCCATGACGGCAGTTTGGGACTCACCAGGGTTCTCCATACTTACATGCAGAACTCCATACTTTATATGGAAATCTCACCAGCAAGTAAACTATTCATTTAAAATTCCGCAGGCAAATCAAAGTAAAAGAGGGGGTTCCTCCCTCTCACTACTAAGAGCAGAGCTGAGGGTATATCTGATGCCACAGAGCATCCTTCTATGTAAATATCATGCCTCTAAAATACAACTACCGCTAAGAGCTCCCAGCCTTTTATTGCCTGCCATTCATTCCTGCCACAAACATTCAGGGTGGGTGCAGAATGGAGAGACTCTTGTCCTGGCCAGAGGAGTTCCTGCCCTGGTGGGAGAGGCACCCATTAAACAAATAATAACCATTAAAAGAATAGGTGCCACCCACTGGGCCAGGGTCTATGCCAAGTGCTCTGCAGGGTCTCATTTAATCCTGGCCAGGTCTGTAATCCCAGCACTTTGGGAGGCTGAGGCGGGAGGACTGCTTGAGCCTAGGAGTTCGAGACCAGCCTGGGTAACAAAGCAAGACCTGGCCTCTACAAAATATAGAAAAACTAGCTGGGCATGGTGGTGTGTGCCTGTAGTATCAGCTACTTAGGAGGCTGAGGCTGCAATGAGCCATGATTATGCCACCGCACTCCAGCTTGGGTGACAGAGTGAAACCCTGTCTCAAAAATAAATAGGCTGGGCTTGGTGGCTCAGCCTGTATCCCAGCACTTTGGGAGGCTGAGGCAAGTGGATTGCCTGAGCCCACGGGTTTGAGACCAGCCCGGGCAACTTGGCGAGACCTCGTCTCTACAATCAATCAAAAATGAGCTGGGCATGGTAGCACATACCTGTAGTTTCAGCTACTTGGAAGGCTGAGGTGGAAGGATCGCTGGATCCCAGCAGGTCAATGCTGGGGTAGCCGTGAGTGTGCCACTGCACTCCAGCCTGGGTGATGGAGTGGGACAACTTAAAAAAATAAAAATAATAAATAAATAAATAAGGCTGGGTATGGTGGCTTATGCGTGTAATCCCAGAACTTTGGGAGGCAAAGATTGAAAGGACTGCCTGAGACCAGGGGGCTGGAGAGCAGCCTGGGTAACTTGGTGAGACCTCATCTCTACAGTCAATCAAAAAATTAGTTGACTGTGGAGGCACACATCTATGATTCTAGCAACTTGGAAGGCAGAGGTAGAAGGATTGCCTGAGCCCATGAGGTTGAGGCTATGGTGGCTGTGAGCGTGCCACTGCACTCCAGCCTGGGTGAAAATGAGACTCCAAATGAATGAATGAATATATAAATAAATCCTCCCAACAGTCACATGTAGGTAGACCATGCTCTTACTCATTCTACCTAGGAGAAAACTGAGACCAAGGTAAGGAAGCCAAAAGTGGCAAGCCCAGTATGCATGCCAGGGTCTCCTCTGCCTCCAGGTTGGTGGTCTTTCTCACTGAGCTTCTAGCTTCCATAGGCCAGGGGAGGGGAGTCATCATCTCCAATTCCCAATGCCCATTCTGAGCAGGCACCAAGCAGGAGCACTACCTGCCAACTGTCATTAAATTTTATGGGTACCCCAAGGCCTCCTGACGGCACAAATTTCATTTGTGCATCAAGTGCTAGTATCTAGGTGTGGGCCAAGTCTGTGGGAGGCAGAGAAGCAAACTACCAAGTCTGCCAGGGGAGAGGCAAGTCCCATTTCTGTGTTCCCAATTACTCTCCAGGAGTCTGTAACTTTAAGATATTTTCCACTTTTCCTGATTCCCACCCCCATTTACAGTGGTTATACTGGAGCTTCCTGTGGTCCCAAAGGATGTGCTTTCAGTCTCTCCCTACACCATCCATCACTGCTCTTGCAACCAGTCCCCTGCTTAGTAAGTGTTAGCAGTTCCCTGTTGACTACTGGACAGAATCCAATCTCCTTGCTTGGTGACCAAAGCTTTTCCTGATCAGACCTTGTCTAAAACCTCTTACCACTTACTATCTCTTACTGGTTTGAGAAGGGCAGTACCTCTGTGTAAAATGAATCCTTCTTTAATAGACGAAATGGGACCAGGTACGGTGGCTTATGCCTATCATCTCAGCACTTTTAGAGGCTGAGGTGGGAGGATTGCTTCAGCCAGGAGTTTGTAACCAGCCTGGGCAACATAGCTAGACCTTGTCTTTACAAAAAAAAAGCCCAATAGCCAGGTGTGATGGTGTACACCTGTAGTCCCAGTTACTTGGGAGGCTGAGGCAGAAACTTCAATCATCTGAACCCAGGAGGCTGACATTGTGTTGAGCTGGGATTGTGCCACTGCACTCCAGCCTGGGTGACAGAGTGAGACCACAGCTCAAAAACAAAAAATCAAAAAAAAAAAAAAGACAGACAGATAGACTTTGGCTTCAGAAAACTTGGCTTTTCTGTTCATGAGCTGTATAAATTCACAAAGGTTTAGCAGGCTGGGATCCCCTTGAAGTCAAAGATAGTATCTTATTCTTTCTGTATTCTATCACCAAGCACAGCGTGGCATATGAAAGGTTCCCAGGGACTGCTCATTCAGCTTACAAACAAGGTCTGAGAGCCAGGCACAGTCTTAGGTGCTGGGATACAACAGAAGTAAACAGGTCATGGTCTCTATCTGCAAAGACCCTCACAGCCTAGCATGGTATTACATCAATCCAGTCCATGTTTATTGCATGCTATGTACCAGGTATGTATTACAAGTGAATGAGGTCTGGTCCCCTCTTTATGCTGATTTCTTAGTCCTTAATTTATGGGCTAATGTGAAATAAGTAAAAAAAAGAAAAGATAGAGACTGAGAGGAGGCATGAACCAGCTCTTTAAAATTCATGACTGAAGAGTTCAAGACCAGCCTGGGCAATATAGCAAGACCTTGTCTCTACAAAAAAAAAAAAAAATTAGCCAGGGTGGTGTGCGTCTGTAGTTCCGGCTACTTACCTATAAAGTGCTATACATCGTGAGGGTTAGTCTATCAGTCTTTACCTTAAATTTACCTTCTTCATGTTTTAATAATCTCTCTCTGCTCTTTTAGAAACCGGTGGAGAAGTTGGCCATGTCAGTCATGAGTTTGTTTGTTTTTTTTCCCGAGCCATGGTCTCACTCTGTTGCCCAGGTCGGAGTGCAGTGGCACAATCATGGATCACCACAGCTTCCAACTCCTGGACTCAGGCAATTCTTTAGCCTCAGCCACCCAAGTAGCCAGGACTATAGGTGCACACCATCCTGGCTAATTTTTTGATTTTTTTTGTAGAGACGAGGTCTTGCTATGTTGCCCAGGCTGGTCTTGACCTCTTCAGTCATGAATTTTAAAGAGCTGGTTCATGCCTCCTCTCAGTCTCTCTTCAGCCTAAGAGGCACCATCTTTAATCCAGGCCTTGATACATATTGTCACCCCAGCCTGGGTAAGTCTGCCCACGCTGCGGGCCTTGCTTTAAAGGTCCCCCCTCTCAGAAGCCTTCCCTGAAGCTCCCCTTTCTTGCTCTCTATCAAGCACTCTCTATGTTTCTATTACATATTCATTCACTAAACGTATATTTACTAAGTGCCGGGCACTATTCTCGGGGCAGGGGATACCGCAGGGAAGAAACAGAAACGCTGCACTTACGGAGCTCACATCCTAGTGGGAGAAACAGTCATTCATCAAGATCAAAATGGAAAGCAGATGGTACGACGGTGTTAAACGCTAAAGAGAAAAACAACTAGGGAAAAGGGACGTGAAGTGAGTGTGTGTGCTGCAACTGACTTGTTTACGTTGTTTACCTGCGTTCTGTCGGTATCGCCCACTAAAAGGTAACCTCTCCATCTCCCATCTGTTTTGTTTGCCAATGCCAACCGGTGTAGGTGTCGAGCAAGGAGCAAAGGAACAGCTCCGTCGCCCTGGCTTTGCTTCTAGGAGGCGAAAAGGGAAATCCCGAGGGAAAGGGAGGAAAGTAGCTTGTTTCCGGCGCTGTGGAAGAGGCGTGCGCTGTAAGCAGTCGGATGCGGGGCTGGCGTGGGAACAGGGACACTCTCAGGGAAAGGGGAAGGAAGGCGGTAGAAGCGCCCGCCCCTGAGAAGTGGGTGCAGAGCAGAGGGGACTTTGCTGAGCACCCAACCACTGCGTGCCGGGCACTGGGCCGGTGCGCCAGCTTAGGCATTTCTATCCCTATTTTTACAACGAGGGATGCTGGGGCTCAGAGAGGGAGGTCTTGTACCCCCAAACCCAACCGCTCGTATGCGGTCAAGCTAGTTCCAAGTCCAGGTTTGAAGTCCCGCGCTCTTCTCGTCCCGCCTCAGACCCCCGCCACGACCACTCACCTACACTCCTGCGCTTCCTCTCACGTGAGGATTCTCCAGGATCCGCCCCTCAGGAGGCGGGGCGCGTTTAGTGGACCCACCCATAAGAAAACGAGAAAGACTTGCGGGGCGGGGCAATACCGCTGTACTTGCTCGTGATTGGCTAGAGCGGCTGCCATTCACAAAACGAGCTTTGGCGTTCAGCCCCTTTCGTTCCCAGCAGGCTTTGCGCGTGGTAAGATGGTGGCGTCCAGGTAGGAGTCTTGAGGAGACCAGAACGGTATGGCGTTGCAGTCGGGGCCCGCTAGGCGGGCTCTGGCTGGCTCTGGTAGGCTTGGCCTTGGGGGCTGCGGGGCTCCGAGACGCGGGGCGTACGAGTGGGGCGTGCGCTCCACGCGGAAGCCCGAGCCTCCTCCCCTGGACAGGGTGTACGAGATCCCTGGACTGGAACCCATCACCTATGCCGGGAAGATGCACTTCATGCCCGGGCTGGCGCGGCCGGTCTTCCCGCCCTGGGACCCCGGCTGGAGGCACCCGAAATTCTACCGGTCGCCCCCGCTTCACGAGCACTCGCTGTACAGAGACCAGGTCTGCTACATCTTCCACCAGCGTTGCCGCCTTCTCGAGGGTGAGGCCCTTGTTCCTCTGCCCAGCACGGACCCCAACCCTCTGTGACTTTGGGCAAGACATTGAAACCCTAGTGGGTCTGAGTTTCTCCCTCTGCGAAATGGAGCCAGAGTGACGCCCATCTTCTGATTAAGTGGGATGTAAAGAGCTGTGCTTGGTGTGAGGGAGTGAAAAGAGAGTTTGCGTGCCAACGTGAAAAGACCTGGTTTGCAGGCCTAGCCCGGGCTGTCACTCTCTGTGTGACTCTGGGCAAGTGGCTGATCCTCCTGAGCCTCCATTTCTGTGAAATGAGTGATTTTGACCAGGCAGTCCACATTGACCTTTCCAGCCCTGACATCTGGGAGATTAACTACATTGAAGAAATAGATGGAGGGAGTTCATAGCGGAAAGAGCAGAAAGTGTGTTTAGTCTCCAGTCCTGTAACCACTAAAGCCCACTTCCACTCTTCTGTCACTCTCACTAAGAACAGATCAGAATGATTTTGCCAAACCAGTCTGTCTGTCTAGAGCAGTGCCAGGAATTATTTTACAGAGTTTATTGGGAGGCTTGTTTATTGAGAGTCCTTTTTCTCCTTTTTCTATCTTCCTTCCCCACCCAAATCAGGATGGGGATAGGGCAGGTCCTGAAAACAAATGGTCAAGTTGAGTGAGAATAGTATTTTCTAAGGAGTAGTTAGGAAAAAAAGGGACCTGGCAGAATTTGGGGACTAAGCCAAAGAATAAATCCTAGGTTTGAAAAAAATCTTAAAGCAACTGGCCAGCCTTTTAAGCTGTTCAGTTCCATTCCTGAAAGCTGATTTTCCAACCTTTGAACACTTCCAGTGCCCTCCTAGGGTGCTGTGAGGAATCTCTCAAGACTTGGCACTCTTGAATGACCCTGGTATCAAAATACCAACTGGGTGAATGCATTAGCAGTATTTTAGAACTTATTTGACTAGGCTGAAAATGTATCTTATATCATACACTTTTGCCACTCACAGGTTCTGTAAAGTCTATAATAAAACTCTGCAAGATATAGGGCTAGAGCCAGGCGTGGTAGCTCACGCCTGTAATCCCAGCACTTTGGGAGGCTGAGGAGAGAGGATTACTTGAGTCCAAGGACTTGCGAACAGTGTGGGCAACTTGGTGAGACCTCATCTCTACAATAAATCAAAAAATCAGCCAGGTGTGGTGGCATGCACCTGTAGTTCCAGCTACTTGGAAGGCTGAGGTGGAAGGATTCCCTGAGCCTAGGAGGTTGAGGCTAAAGAGGCTGTGAGTATGCACTGCACTTCAACCTGAGTGACAGAGTGAGACTACGACTCAAAAAAAAAAAAAAGATACAGGATTAGAGAAGCCAATTGGAGTAATGGAGAGATTATGGTCTTTAGGGTAAATAGACTTAGATTCTTCTCCTAGCCCCATCACAAGGTATGTGACTTGAAGCAAATTCCTTACTCTGAGTTGCATCCTTCATTTATAAAATCCCATCTAACTTGTAGGTAGAACTCCTAGCACAGGGTAGATGGTGACATTCAGTAAATGGCAACCCTAATAATTACTTATTATTTATATGTGAGTGAGCCATAAAATCTTAATATTTTATCCATCTTCTAGTGTAAGGAACAGTGGCTGTGTCAGGACTAGGTTTTCTAGCTGGGGTGGGTAGCCTGCCAACCAAAGCAGTCACCAGCCCTCTATCAACTCGTGGTCACGATCACTGAAAAGAATACAGTGTTAACTTTCATCTGAGGACAGAGGACTGGTATGTTTACTTGATCCAGAACTTGGGTACCCTTAGGGAAGCCAGATTTGGGGAAAGTGAAGCTAGGGAGGTTTTGCCTAGCACCACAGCCCATCCCACTGAGAGTAGCCAAAGTTCCCACATGTTTAAAGACTCAGCTTAAATTGAATGTAGTTTACTTGTATACCATCTTTTCCTGAAAAGTGTTTTGGGCAGCTTATTTATAACACTACAGATTAAATTTAAAAATAGAAGAGGGAATCAGTACAAAGGGAAAATAAAAATGAAGTGAATACAAAAAAATCCATTCTGTGAGTTCTACTTGCTAAAGGGAAGCCCCAAACTTGGCTCCGAGCATGTTGGCAGTCTAGAGATGATACAGAGCTGGGGTCAGCTAACCAGGCCAGTTGCCTGTTTTTGTAAATAAAGTTTTGTTGGAACAAACCATGCACACTTGTTAATTATTGTTTTTCGCTGCTTTCATGCTTCAATGGCAGGGTTGAGTAGTTGTGACAGTCTGCTGGAAATATTTACTATTGGCCCTTTAAGGAAATGTTTGTTTACCCCTGTTATAGAGAAATATATTTTCAGTTGTGCAGTTAACTATGTCTATAAGAATAAAACAGTACTGACCAGGAAAAGCCCTACCTTTCTGCACTAAGGCCTGAGAAGATTAGAACATCTCAGAGAGCATCCTGTGTAGTAAATAGAGCATCCACAATATAACCCTTTTATAAATACAGCGATACATTTCACAGGACTGCTCCATGCTCATTATAGAATCTTAGGGTTAGGTGAGATGTGAAAAATTATCTGTGTAGGTGATCCCAAACTCAGCTCCTTAGGGTGTTCATGAAGATCCGGAAGTCATTCCCATTATTTCCAAAATCTGCTTCCCCTTGATAAGGCAGCATGGGTTTATTTCTGGCCCATACCTAGTAAATGAAATATATTAGATAGACACGGACTTTTCTAGTCTGGGTTGGGGTGTAGGTTGATAGAAAGGATCTATCCATCATAGTCCCACAGCTGAGGATCAATCCACTGGCTGCAGGATCCAGCCTAATGACCTCAGCTGTCTCTCTTACTGTTTAAATTCCTTTTCTGGCCGGTGCTTACTACCTCAGGTACCTGTTAACTATCCTGAAGTGGATGGTCATTCCTAAAGTTGGGTTGAAATCTGGCTTTCCTAGCTTCTGCTTTTCACTTTTGATTCTGTCCGCTCAGGTGTCACAGAACAAATTCACTTTCTCTTGAGGCAGCCTTTTCCCCAAGGTGCTGCAGGTGTGAGCATCTGAATCGTCTTCTTTTTCTTTTTTTTTTTTTTTGTGGCTCATTACCCTAAAGGTGAAAAGCAGGCCCTCTGGCTTACCAAGGCCAAGTTAATAGAAGGCCTTCCTGAAAAAGTACTCAGCCTTGTTGATGATCCAAGGACCCACATAGAGAACCAAGATGAGCGCGTTCTGAACGTGATCTCTCATGCCCGTCTCTGGCACTCCACTGAGGACATCCCCAAGAGAGAGACCTACTGGTAAGTTCCTCCAAGTATGTAAGATTTCCAACTAAGGGATCTTGGAGTCAACCTGTTGCTTTAAGTCCCTAAATGTCTCTTTTTTTCTCCAAGCCCAGTCATTGTGGACAGTCTGATACAACTGTGTAAATCCCAGATTCTCAAGCATCCATCTCTGGCCAGGCGGATGTGTGCCAAAAACTACACATTATCTGCCTCCTGGAATCGAGGTTAGTCATCTTGTACAACAGAAAGCCTTGGTTTGCTTTTTTGTCTTTCTACTCTTAGCTCCACCCCCAGCTCACATCTCTCTTCCCCCAAATACTTATCCTCACTCTGTCTTTTGTGGTGTAATTTTGTAGGCTCAGACACACCCTCGGTATCACCAACCATAGCCCAGGCTTTTTTGTTTTAATCACTTCTAAGACTGTTAATTCAACCATTAACAGTCAGCCACATCTGTTGAGCACCTAGGATCTGCTTGGAAGTGCCTAAACACTAAAGATAAGGACTTCATAAAGCACACAGAGACTCTGCCCTTACAAAGCCCTTATTCTATTATGACCGTCTCCTTACCCCATTCCTACTTCTAAATCCTAGGGTGGATAGCCGCTAGAGTGATCTTTCTAAAGTACAAGTCTTTCTATGTCTCTGCTCTGTTTCAAATCTTTCACCGTTTCAAATCCTTCACTGTCTCCCAGGAACACAAACCTATTAATCATGGGATGCCAGGCCCTCATGATTTGGCCTCCACCTAGTCTTTCCCGTCTTGTCTCCTGCTCTGTTGCCCTGCCCCTGCCCATCCCTAAATTGCCACTTGTAGCTTTTTGTCATCAAGCTTTCACACCCTTGTGTCTTGGCACATGCTGTGCATTCTGACTAGACTGCTCTTTTCCACTTTCTTCACTTAACCAAATTCTGCTCATCTGCAAGACTCCACTCAAGCCCCCCTCCTCTGTGATTCCAGGCTCTGTGACTCCAGAGCTGTTCTCCTTCTGCTCCTTCTGCTGTCCTAGCACAGATTACACTATATTGACAGTATCTAATAACGACACTGAGCTCCCGATGGCAAGGACCATGTCTCACTCATCTTGCCCACAGTGTCTAGCAGTTCATGGCCCTCAGTAGGTGCTGACTGAAGGGACAGGTGAATATTTCAAGCAGGGGTGTTCAGAGAACACAGGTGTCCTTACTGGTGGAATCCTGGAGCAGGGAACCAGCCATGGGATGCTTTGGAATTTCAGGTCCTCTGCTTGGTCAGGTCTCCAGCCGGCCCCTGAGTGTATGGGCTTTCTGGCAAGGAGTCAGCTTTGCACCACGAAGTGTTGGCACCACGAAGGAAATTAGTGAACCTCATGAATAGAGGAGTACTTGTTGGCCTATCATCAAGTATTGCCTCTAATTAAACTGCCCCATTTGGAGCTGTCACTGAAGGAGGGATGTGGAGGGAATTGAATTAGAAACCACACTAGAGTGGTCTGTGGGGAGAATCTAAAACCCAAGGTTAGGAGAGGTCCGGGCGCATTTGTTTTCCTTGCAGATTATAAGTGAGGAAACAGGAAGTACTTGAGAAAACTCTTCTTGAAGTGTGAGTCTGATATATTGTAACAACAGACCAGAACCTATCTGTTCCCAGATATAGTATACCCTTTTTACAGTAAGGGAGGCCACATGCTAATTAAATGATGGTGCTGTTTTGACTAAACCAGTTTGTAGACGTATAAGAAAACCAGCTTTGCCAGGTGCGGTGACTCACACCTGTAATCCCAGCACTTTGGGAGGTGGAGGCAAGAGGATTGCCTGAGTCCAGGGGTTTGAGACCAGCCTGGGCAACTTGGTGAGACCTTGTCTCTACAATAAATAAATAAATAAATAAGCTGGGAATGGTAGTGCACACCTGTGGTTCTGGCTACTTGGAAGGTTGAGGTGGAAGGATTGCCTGAGCCCAGCAGGTCAAGGCTGCAATGGCCATAAGCGTGCCACTGCACTCCAACCTGGGTATCAGAGTGAGACGACTCCTCAAAAAAAAGAAAACCAGCTTTGATCCATTACCTCCACACTGTGAGTTGACTATTTCTAGAGATCCAAGCACCTTCAGAAGAAGATCTGCCTCCATGGAGACTCCTCAGGAGGCCATTCTCAAAGAGTTTTTCCAAGCACATTTTGCCTGGGGTTAGCATGTGGCCTCCCGTGGGAACCTCTGAGAAGGCATCTGCTCATGTTCACCAGGGCTGGCTTGCTGGCTAGTCAGATGCGCGTTTGTCTTCCTCAAACCAGCTATCTCCAAGAGCAAGTATGTCGACCTGACTTAAGCCAGGCTTTCCAACTGGCCAGGTTTCTTTCACTCTCAGTTGTTAAGGACAACCTGGCATTTTCCTGGGCTTAACAGTCTCTCCTCTGCCTCTAGTCTCTACACTTCTCTCCATCCCACCTTCCCTAGCATATCCTGCTCTGGAAATCTGGATGTATTTCTCTGAACTCTGCCACAGAGCTGCACACACCTATGATTTTGCATGTGTTATCCTTTTTTAACTAGAATGATCCCCCCTCCATTTGCCTGAAAAGCTCGTACCCAGTGGTTTTTAACTAGAGACAGTTTACCCCGTAAGAGACATTTCATATTATTAGGACATTGATTGGTCTGGAGGGATGGAATGGGGAGGGAATTCTAGTGGCATCTAGCAGGTAAAAGCCAGGAATGCTGCTAAATACCCCACAGGGCACAGGACAGCCCCCTCACCAAAGGATAGGCTGGTTCCGAAAGTATTAAATAGTGCTGAGATTGAGAAGCCCTACTCTCATCCGTCCTTCAGAATGTGCTTTTAAGGTCTTGCTTCTTTCAGGAAACTTCCCAGGCTTCCTTCTGGATGTGCTCTATCCTTTCTATATGAACTTTACTAGCCGTTGAGCTCTTTGAGAGCAGGGAGTAGTAACTCATTTCCGTGTCTCAGGCTGGAGCAGGAAGAGCTGCATAGGGCAGACCTGAACCCCCAGAGACCATCCGCCCTCAGAGTTCATTGGGATGGAAGCACAGGAAGAAGAGTGCATTGGCTCATCCCCTGAGAGATCCCAGGCTCAACTTCCTGACTCAGTTGTATGTTCTGTGATTCAGCTGATCGTTTAGAAAAAGCTATAAGGAATGAGGTGCACGGGAGGATGAAGGCTGTAGACTTGGCTGACTTGAGAAAGCCTTTAGACCCAGCTAGACTAACCATGGTTCTCCCTTTTTAGAGTCTATTCTCCTTCAGGTCCGTGGTTCTGGTGGAGCCCGACTGAGTGCCAAGGATCCTCTGCCCCCCATTGCCTCCAGAGAGGAGGTCGAAGCCACTAAGGATCACGTTCTTGAGACCTTCTATCCCATATCTCCCACTATTGACCTCCAGGAGTGCAATGTGTATGAGGTGAAAGACAACACAGGTAAGACCAAAGCCTTTGACTTGTAGGCAGTGTGGGGAAGAGGGATGTGCTTCTTCCAAAGGTGTGAGGCCCCTCACATACATTCTCTCCTGGGAGCCCTGGGGCAGCCCCACGAGACAAAGACTTTTAGCTCCAGCTCCATTTTATAGGAAGCCAGCTGCCACTCAGGGAGGGTAAGTGACTTACACCGAGGCTGACTTGCTTTCTCCTCTGAGAGGTAGCTCTGCTACAACAGAGTTTTAACAGGTGGCTTGAGGGGCTTTTTTTTTCTTCGACAAACTATCATTGAATGTTGAGGGGCTTTTTGACCAAGGCTTTTTTTTCTTTTTTTAATCAGTCACTCTGTCCCCAGGCTAGAGTGCAGTGATATGATCACAAATTCTGCAGCCTCAACCTCCTTGGCTCAGGCAATCCTTCCATATCAGCTTCCGAGTAGCTGGGATTACAGGTGCGCATCACTAAGCCTGGCTAATTTTTTAATTTTTTGTAGAGATGAGGTCTTACTATGTTGCTCTTGAACTCCTGGCTCAAGCAATTCCCCCACCTTGGCCTCTTAAAGGTGCTGGGATTACAGGTGTACAGGCGCCGGGCCACTTCTTTTTTATTCATAGGTTCCCTGAAATATATCCTCTTTCTAGTCACTCTGTAAACTCTGGCCAACCTTCTTTAAGAACTGAGGAAACCTCGTGGATATTGAATAGGGCCACTGACCCAACCTTCAGTAGATGAGGCACCACTGTATACTCAGCCAAGTCAGATGAGTGAGATGGGGCTGGCCAGTTCCAGTCATCCACGCTGTTATCATGAGCTGTCGCGCATTCCTTGTAAACCCCTGCATTTTCACAGCTACAAACTAGGTCAGGCCTTACTGTCCTTACCTAGCCTGTTGCCACAGCCTCCCCCTGGTCACTGTGACCCCACACTATTTCCGGATTTGCAGAGCAAGATATGCTGGGGAAGGTGGGGTGGAGAGAGATGCACAGAGATTATAGGCAGAGGAGAGACTGATAAATCCAGGAAAAATCCAGGTTGTCCTTAGCAATTGAGAATGAAAGAAACCTGGCCGGCCAGGCTCAGTGGCTCAGCCTGTAATCCCAGCACTTTGGGAGGCCGAGGTGAATGGATTGCCTGAGCCCGCGGGTTCGAGACCTGCCTGGGCAACTTGGCGAGACCTCGTCTCTAAAATAAATAAAAAACTAGCCAGGTGTTAGCGTGTGCCTGTAATTCTGACTACTAGGAAGACTGAAGCGGAAGGATCACCGGAGCCCAGCAGGTCAAGGCTGCAGTGTCTGGGCAACGGAGTGAGGCTCCAACTCAAAAAAAAAAAGAAGAAAGAAACCTGGCCAGTTAGAAAGTCTGGTTTAAGTCAGATCGGCATGCATACATCCAGGCCATCTAGGTCTCAATTCCAGAGTAGCCTTTCTCAGCACCAGTGTAGTCCTATCTCTCTCCATGCTCAACCCCCCATTGCCTTATGAGTAAAGTCGGAACTCCTTAGCTTCCCACATGAGGGCCTTCGCATATGGCCTCCGTCCCCCCTCCAGCCTCATTGCCTCTACCCCCCTCCCTTTCTCCTGACTGTACTAAACACATCGGGTTCTTTCTCACCACCATGCTTTGGCGTTTTCTCTTCCCTCTGGCTAGAACTCTTGGTCATTCTTGCCTTTTTTTGTCACCCAGGCTAGAGTGCAATGGCACAGTCATGGCTCCCTGTGGCCTTGACTTCCTGGGCTCAGGTGATCCTTCCACTTCAGCCTCTCAAGTATTACAGACTTCAGGTCCGTGCCACCATGCCGACTAATTTTTTTTATTTTTGTAGAGACGAGGTATTGCTATATTGCCTAGGCTGGTCTTGGCCTCCCAAAGGTGCTGGGATGACAGACATGAGCCACTGCACTCAGCCAATAGCTTGTTGTCTTTCACAATTCATCTAAGGAATCACTTTCTCCCAGAAATGTTGTGGAATCTTCTAGTTTCATCTGTCCTCCTAGAGCCCCAGACTCACCTCATCTTGACATGCCCCTCTATATAGATAGGACTAGTACTCCTATCTGTCTCCCCTCTAAAGAAATGCTCCTCAGAGGCAGTGGCAGACTCTGCTTGGCCTCCAGTCCTGGTACCGGCCTCGGAGCTTAGCACAGAGCAAGCAGGTACTGGGTGTTTCCACATGTTAACTGCCTGAGCAGACTTGCGTGCACCCCTCTGGGATTTTCTTTTTTTTTTTTTTTTTTTTTTT